CAGTGGGTATAAGTAGAAGCTTCGCGAGTCCCATCCGACCACCAGCGGGTAAGGCTACATTTACGGTCAACCGTGTCTGTAGCGAAGCTACATAGCTCTTTAGCCAGAGGGAGACTTTTTAGGCTAGAAGCCTCTTAGTTCTTTATAACCAATTAAATTTTCGGCTAAAAGCCGCTTAGTTTCTAAGGAACCAATTAAACGACTAAAAAGTCACCCTGTTCCAATGAACAAAGAGGGGCTTCTAGTCTACAAGCAATAGCTTTAAGGCCTAGATAACCAACGCAGAAAGTGCAAGAACAAGCTAGGAGTCTAAAGGTTCATAGAACCAACGCACGAAGTGCACAAGAGAACAAGTCTTATTAAAACTTAATTTTTTAACATAAAGTGAGAGCTGAATTTGTTATCCATTAAGATTTTGTGAATAAATATACTCTAAGTACCCTAGACTCGATTAATTACAATTATGATAATTATACTATGCCATCGTTTGTAACTGGGTATGGAATCATTCAATCATCAGTATATGTTGTACTTTGTACTACTGTTTCCATTATGAAACTGATACCGATAGTATAGGTTACAACTAAAACCTTATAATTGTAAGAATTTGGTAGTAGTGTTGCTGCACTTGTTGCAGAAGATGTAGAAGTAAAAGTGATATATATTAAGCATTAACTTTCCTCGTTCGTTAATACCTACTCATGCATGCAAAACCGACTGCAGCTATACCATCTATAGTTCACGTCTATCCCGCTCCGTCCCATCTGTTACGACATCGACAAGACGATGTGGTAATCTCGTCGCCTCGTCACATATGTCGCAACATCCTGGTGGTCCGACGTGGCGATATCGTCGCCTCGTCTCATCTGTCAGCACGTCAAGTCTGTTTAGCCAATCAGGTACGGTTGTTACTTACCGCCTGACAGGGTATTGTCCTTGACCTTCACGACCTGTCAACAACAATAGCTTCTAACAATAATATCACTCATCTATGATACCCCTTTTTATAGGATCAGTATTAAGATACATTATACGCAATATAGAACTTCAACCGTAATGTACTTTCGGTATGATGTTACAACCGTCGTGTAACCGCGTTACATATACTTTATCAAGACAGCGCAGCCCACGCGGGTGTTAGCAGAGCTGCTTAACGATCTTATATCCGCGGAGGTGGGTAAGGAGGTGCCAGCGGCATTGTGGGACAACACAGCAAAGCGGTGCGTAGCATGTGTCAAGCGGATAAAGAAACGTGAGACGCTGCGGCGGAGCGCGGTGTTTCGTAGCATTAACGCGCAGAACAAGTCGCGCATATTGACGAGGACAGAGCCTTAGGAGACCAAGGTGGAATATACGTCAGGTCAAAGAAACCGTTCCGGGGGTAAATGACGCTGGAAGATAGATTTACTTCGGAATGGAAGCCGATATACGGCATCGTGCATCAAGCCCCCCCCCCCCGTCGGAGCAACTTGCGAATGCGTTCGACAAGTTTGTACAGATTCCGGCCAACAGACACCTATCGGTAGCAGACAATGTACTTCTTCTCCCAAAAGTTTTATCGGACGAGGTAATTCAGGCCATTAAGGCACTCAACCGGCGCAAGGCGGCAGGTGCGGATGGACTCACAACGAGTTTTTAGAGCTACCCAAGCAGTGATGGTTCCAGCAATGGTCGCTATCGGAAACGAATTACTTGCAGATGGGGAGCCGCTTAAGTCATTCCTGCAGAGATTGATTATCCCACTAAGAAAAAAGACGATTCTAATGACGCCGTGGACTACCGACCCATCGCACTCCTGAAAACCGGATACAAGGTCTATTGAAAATAATAGCGACGCGAGGCCAACGAGTACTGAGGGCACCGATTGGAGAGTCGCAGCAGGGCTTTGTCCATGAAAGGCAGATGCGTAAAACCGTGATGATGATGCTGGCTCTACTGGCGACAGCCACGGCCGAACCGGATGTAACAGCTGCACGCAGTCGAGTCATCCTCCTGCTGGACTTTTGCTAAGCTTACGACACGGTCGCGCGTGAGTTCCTGTTCTTGGCACTCGTACGCTTTGCATTTTCTCAGGAATTAACGTAGATGATCCGTAAACTTCACGACGGTAACACGGCCGAATTCGTTGTTAACGGGCAACTTTGAAACCACAGGAGATGGGGTTCTGGATACGGCAGGGGTGCCCGCTTGCTCCGTTGTTCTTTCTTGTAGCGACGGAAATACTTGCGTTGGCGATTCAACAAAACATTGCGATAATCGGTCTACAAGTGCCAGGAGGAAGTGGTGCGGTGCATAATTTTCTAAATATTCGTCGATGATTCGAGGGCGATCAAGCGGAAGGCAAAAAAACTACCCATAGTGATGACCTTCGTGGAACAATTTGGACGAGGAACCAGCGTTGCTAACCTAGGCTTTGGATGTACTATAATGGGGCACCCTTTGACTATACTGATATCAGTATAGTCTCCCTTCACTGATAACAGTGAATGCAGGTGCCTCAAAACCTCGCGTACACGACGAAGGCAGAGGAAGCTATACGACTAAGTTGTAAGAGAAAAGAGAACTTTATTTAATATTGTTGAACTATTTAATAAAACTAAATCATTAATAACATTGTCTTAACTATATCGAAGTACAAATACAGTATGTATGTTATCTTCGTGCCCTCCATTCATTGCGCGCGTCCATCGTTCATTGGTCAGCGCCTTGGTTGATATAATGACCTACATCAACCAATCAGAGGGCATCTTAAACTTCAAGGAGATGCGAGGACGATATTATAAGAAAAGACAATATTATCAAATATTGTTAGTTATAATGATATTTTTATTAACACTTATTGTTAGTGTCAATATTATGTAACGGGCTTACCCCGTTACATTCAGAACCACTAAAGGTTAAATAGACTCGTCTCTATTAACAATTTTTGTCTGCTTTCGAATTATTGCCCAACATTCGATACACTAGCTCGGACTAGGACGGGCATGAGCAAAAGTAAATGTTAAAATTGAGGAAAAATCGTCAAATGAGGGAAAGACCATATTGGACCGTCGAATGCGGCGTACCTAATCTGAATCAAAGTTTGCCTTCCATTCTTTCTGAGCACTATCGTAGTGACAGCCATAAAACTTGCTTAACAATAGTTGAAACGAGAAGACAAGTCGACTTGTGCTAAGAATTCGAATCGGAGCACTTCAACATGCTGGCTTTTTGGCAGCTCTTCATAACTCACACTTCCATTCAATGCATCGTATGGTGGCAGGATATCAAGCGCATGTTTCACATACACTCGGGCATGGTCTATCTCGTAGACTCGTGCTCTGGGTGCATATTGCCACTTGAACACCCAGGGCTTATAACTCAACTGCATATTCAGCATTCTGAGCCACTGTTTCTAATAAAACACCGCCCACTGCCACCACCAAGTCCAAATGTATGGGTCATTTTGGCGACTTCTCAATCAACGAACCTTTGGTTTCAGGCAGCTTCGTGCTACTCATTTGAAGGTGTAAATGCAATACAGCTCTTTCACTCTAGTCTACATATTTCAATTCATAAAAGTCACGGACTTAACGGATTCAATTTGACAAGGTCATGACAGACTTGGCAGATTCATCGTGCTAGCAGTGCTGTCACTGTTGTTTAAAGCGTGTTTGTTGCCCGCGCCATCGTAGTCAGATGTATGCAAGTGTCGTAAACGGTTCGTCTTAGTTCCTTCCTGTTGCTTTGCGTGCTCAGAACGACTGCTTCGATGACATGCGCTATAGCTGCATTGCATACTTTGGCTCCAACTTTTTTCGTATGCTTTTTCTTTGGTGGTGCTGGCCAGCCTGAAGTGCCGCCTACGAAAACGTAACGTATTCTAATCCCACGACTAATTGAGTTGATTTGCGACCTAGATGGCAATAACAGGCTAGAGATTCCCTAGCTGATTTTGGCCGCTGCACTGCTGGATGTAGTCCCATCCGACTATTGCACCCACCAACGCGCTGCCACCACCCTCAGCCCACATCTAGTCCTCGTCTCCACTCAATAACTCCATAATCACATCGGATGTTTCAGCTACACCCGCGAAGCCAGCACTAAGCAATCGATACGATCGATTACCGTATCTAGTCCGTCTGAGCTTGCCAGCTGCTCTAGTTTACTAAACGCACCACCGAGATTACACCGCGCCAGATCGACGCACTTCAGGCTGCATTTACTTCGATGCGCAACTTACTTGGGCGACCGTAACGGCAGCTATAAATTACTCGACACTGCGCATCCGCACGCAAGAAAGTGATCATAGAGGGCTATGCAGAAACAGAAGTAGTAAGGTAGTGTGATGGGAAATAAAGAAATTGGAGATAAAGACAATGGTGGGGGCGGCGCACGCGCTCACCCCCGCTATCAAAAATTCTACTGTGGAATTACTCAAAAGAGCATTCCTGAACCCTTACAGCACCGGAGTGCAAGGGGCCTGCTCCGGCTCATGTCAACGCCCTCATTGAGCAGCGTCAAGCACCAGTCAGGTAAGTATGAATGTCGGTGCCATGATACACCATGCCCCTATATCCTTTTACAATCCCTACGTACAACTAAGTTGTTTGGCTGTTTTGGCTAAAAGTTAACACTTTTTTGTCGTCCCTAAATAAATCGGGATTGCAAAAGTCTCATGTAAGCTTCGGGGTTCATTAAGTCGATGCATTACGTTGTATTACAAGTTAGAGTAGTTCTGTCCTTCTATCACTGCGTTCCATATTGATATAAGTTTGCAAAACATGTTCCTAGAAAATGAAGTGTACGACTCGAGCCGCGTCATTCCATTTTTTTCAGCGTCGACTCCCTTAGTTTTTCTAGCCTTGATGTTCTTGTTCTTCATGACTTTTTGCTTGCATCTCCGTCTTGTAGCAGGGACTAAGCCAACCGAGAATACGAAGCAACCAGCGCAGTGCTTTCGATACTTGACAAGCGCTTGCGAACCGAAGACAAACCCACCGACTGACCCAAAGCCTTGCTTATGGTACATCGATATCCATCGGGTCTAAATTAAAGTGCTTGCAACTATTACGGGCCGTAGCTCCTGTTGTTCCAAAAGAGCGAGCCTCGTTGAGGAATAGCAACGCCTTGTACTTCTTTTTGGTGCGGATCATTTCGCGCACGTTTGGTATATCACCGTCCATACTGTACACACCCTCGATCACAATGAGCACACGACGGTACTTCGTACGCAGTTTCGACACCGTACGCTCAAGTGCCTTGGTGTCGTTGTGCGGGAAAGACAGAATGGTAGCGCCGCTGAGGCGTTGCGCATTCACACAAGAGTCGTGGTGAAGCGCATCGCACAGAATCAAATCACCCTTTGAGATGAGTCAATCGATGGTTGCGACGTTGGCCACCCAGCCACCGACGAATAGAATGCAGGCCTCGGCGTCGAAGAACGTGCAAAGTGCCGTCTCCACATCAACGTTCACTTGCGTCTGGTCCACGATAGAAGAGCTCATAGTTGTGCCATATACCTCAATCCCTGCCTTCAATGCAGCCACTACTTCAGGATCCAATGCATTACCGAGGAAGTTGTACGTGTATATATGTGTCATGCAGCGTTTTTAGACTTGGCTGGAGCTGATGTCTTTGTCGATTCTTTGGCCATTTTCGCTGTCTCCAATTTTCCTGCGCTTGTTATCTATCATTTATCTGGAAGGCATTCAAACGATTCAAAAATGACCACACACTCTTCCACTGGGTCAAGTAAGTAGATAAACAACTTCATAGTACGGCTGAAGGTGTGTGTGGATCTTTTGCTCAACACAGGGATTTCAGATCTTTGACTTACTTGTACTCTCTCTCTACATCTTGTCGTGTCATTTAGGTACCCGAACGAGCCATCTTTATCGGCGGGAGCTCGCAAATTTTCTGACGGAAGGATTCATAGTTATAGCGCAAAGCGGTTGTCGTGCAAGAGTTGAAGATGCTGCAGACAGATTCTCGATTACTGCAAACATGTATTGTGCAATTTGCCTATGGCAAGACGTGGAAGCTTTGGTGACGACGATATTGCTCTAAATGGTGCTCAGAGCTTGGAGCAAATGATGAAGCTCAGCCCAAAACTTGTGACTTTGTTACAGCATTGGGTTTGTGCTTGGAACAGCATAGTCAGCAATCAAATCAAGTTTATGCATCGATAAAAAGGCTGATGAGCTTGCTAGGACAGCCATAGCTGCTGAGAGTGGTGACAACTACAGCAAGAGAAAGGTACTGGTAATGATGGACGTGAGTGAAGATGGAGAAGACAAGGAGGAGGAGAAAGAAGATAAAGATTATATACAAAATGTATTAACCTTGGTGAATCAACTAAGCGACCTGCATGTCATTTATCTTAGCTTGTGTAGTCCCCGTCCAAGGCTTCAAAATTCAGACGACGCAGCGTGTAACGGCGCTGAAGTGTAAGCACGTCTAGTACACGTTCTTTCTGTTTGAATGCACTCAGCCAATGGGCCGCCACTTGGCTCACCGCACGTGCCTCGCCAGTTTGGAGCTTTTGAACCGCTCGGGCTTTGTTTGACCTTATGTCTCAGTTCATTGAACCTCTTTGTCTTGTATATTTGCGTACAGCAGTTGACTAACGTTTCAACGTCAATGTCCTGAAGTATGTCCGTGCTACTTGCGGGTTCGTGTCGCTTCTTTCGACTTTGAGCACCAACGTCCTTGCGGCTTTGTAATCCTCATCAGCACTGTCAAAGCGCGAAATCAAACTAAGTAAATCCCCGCGGAGTCCATGAGCCTCAATAGCTTCGCGTGAACTTTTTGGTGCAAATTTCACAGCGACATCGCAAGCACGCAACGCATGTTGTGTAACGTTGGCATCATGTTCTGACTTGACGACGCGTCGTCGTCAAGCGTTGCACACAAATGCAGTCCAATACGCGCATAATCTGGAATCTGCTTTTGTAAGGATTGAGATGTCAGCCTTAGGCATACATCACTAGGTCCATTGCTATTCCATTGAGCAAAGTCGGTAAATCTTCCTCTTTCCATATAATCCTTTCCAGTTGACAATTTTCTTTACGTCACCATCGAAAATGTCCACGACGAGACTGAGTACACGAGTGTCAATTGCACCGAAATAAACAATCACTGCACCTGTCAGCCAAATGTATACACTTGATACTGCATTTTCTTTCGTCGTAACCGTCTCCTTTTCTCAGGGTCAGCTCGTGTGTCAATAGCACAACCAAATCTCTTTCAAAAGCCAATAGTAATGCTTTACCCGTCTGCAATTGTCGTTAGTGTCTGCATCCTCGTCCTTCTCTTTCTCTTCTTGATATCGATTGAATAGTTTCTCATTTGATGGCACGTAATCACTGTCTGAATCTTGATCAATAATTGGGGAATGTCATGTCACGAAATACTGAGACAAACTTCAGTTTCGACGACGTTAAAGCGTCACGTCGGACGTCCAAACAGATGGTCGTCAGTTGTCGAGTCCGACTTGAGCAGCTGCTGCTTGATATTTGACAGTATCGTCTTTTGCTGCAGAAAAACAATAAGGTACCGTATTTTGTCACGAGTGAGCATCCTTCTCAACGGACGAGATCTATTAATTCATACCCTGTTTTACGCATTGCTATAAGTATAATATTATGCAGTTTGTTTTACTTATGCGCAAAGTACTGATTTAATAATGCAAGTACATTGTACTTGTATAAAGGTCTTAGCCAATCATATTAACCTGGCACGATGACAAGTCACATTTTAATAGAAGCAACACGACAATTTAGAAGACAAGTAAGTCAGTTTTACGACAAAGGTTGATGACGCGTGGTAATCAGCGAGACACGGACCGAGCGGTACGAGCTAGTAATGAAAATTATTCACTTATCTATTGGTGCTACATAAAAACTCATTGAAAGGTGTTCTTTGCTATGGTATAGCGTGCCCAAGCACGTCAGGCTAAACACGCCAAGGGCACGACTCAGGGCAATCCATTGGCTAAACGTGAAGCAGATGCAAAAGCTTTGCAGGAGAAAATTGCTCGTAAAGCAGCCATGAAAGCAGAAGGTGGTGATGTGAATACCAGTGCCGCTAATAACAAGGGCAAGAACAGTAAACAACAAGACAAGAAGAAATAGAGTCAGTTGTTGTATTGGACTCGTGGTGGGGGATGATTAAGGATCAATGATCATTTTAGAGAGGGAATGAACGGCTTATAATTGAGACTTGTTTGTAGAGCCAGTAAGAGCTTAATTTTTTTACTATATAGCGACGTTAAACTGAAGAAAAGAATGGATCCTGCTGTATATGATGAAGATGCGTATCGTGTTCAGTTGCTGCAAAAAATGCGCACGAGTGAGACGATCGTGTATCAAGCGATTTTTGCCCCGGAAAACATTTCGGGTGGTGGACCCGTGCTCGTGGCTGCGACAAGCTTGGGGTTGATACATATATACCGACTCAGTCACGTGATGACACCGGTATACTGGGATCAAGTTGGACGGGGCGAGTACGTTCGTCTTGTATATTTTTTTATACCTTTAATGTAATTGTTATTGAAATGGTGTACTGATTTATGATATTTGGGACAGAATGAGTGCATTTCCAGGTCCAAATCTGTCGTTTTTGGCACATTCGACTCAGATTTATTCACTTTGTTTTGCGGGCAATGACACGACCCCATTACTAATTAGGTACGACAATGGAACTATACAATTGTAGTAATATTTGTGTCACTAATGGCTACATTTTTACCTCTATAAACTTGTTAATTAGTGGAGGAGATCAGGATTTTCGAGTGTGGAAGTGGAAGGACATTTTGTTGGCTGTGGAAGATCCTGCACGGACTAAAACACTAGAACCTGTACATATTGGTCGCTTAAAGTGCCGTACATTAGGATTTAGAGGAGCACTATTACCAGCTACGGAGATTAATGATGTGACAGTGAGCAAGAATACTGGACATTTGTTCTTGGCGGGTGGAGACAGCGTCGCACACGAGTGGGATATCGACACGCAGCAGTTTACAAGACAGTTCGAAGGCCATGAGGATTACTTGCATGCTGTACGTCATTTGCAGCATTCGCAGGAGCTCGTGACGGGCTCTGAAGATGGCACACTCGGTATTTGGGATGTCCGTCAAAGCAAAAAGGTGGAATTTCTGCGTCCTCAGCAAACAACGCAGTCCTCGTCGTCAGTATTGTCGTCATTATGGATTGGTGCTGTTGCACACGATGAGTCTGAAATGTGGCTAGCATGTGGCGGTGGAACCAAACGATCTCCTCGCTGTCACTCTCATCGAGCACCAGCTACTGGTGGTTTCTTGGGTATGTGGCATTTACCCTCACGGGTGCCCGTGCACTACACTGCGACGACATGCGATGTGCATGATGTCGTTTTTCATCACATGGAATTGCTTAGTGTGGGAAATGATGCCAGTTTGAAAAAGTGGAATCGCAGCTCTGGTCAATTGCTTGCAGCTACCAGATCGACCCTACCGTCCTGCCATTTTTGTGTGGTTGACAAGGCTACTGATGTAATTGCTGCTGGTGGTGCTGCACCTGCTATTGATATTTACACCATGTCCGGTGTTGTTAGTTTTTCACTGGTTGTTGCGGACAAGGAGTGTTAAGACCGATCACTCACTCACTCACTCACTGCGAAACAAAATATTGTAGTTTGAGGACGTTCAAGCTGAAAATTACAGTGGGGAGTGCTTCATTCAAGAGTTTTTTTTATCTTTCGGCATCAACTTACACGGGAATAAATAACTTCCATCCTCTACAAGGGTCAGTATAAAAATGCCGGCCACCAAGTTTGATAATGCTGTACGTACATGCATTACTGCTCGACTCGTCTTGCAGATTTCATTCTTTCTTTATTTTTACAATTGCTGACAAAATACGGATGAGAATATGTAATGTATGGAGCAGGAGTGTGCCAAGTTGCAACGAGAATCGCTCAATTGTCTTATGGGTATATGAATTTTTATGTTACTGGACAACAGCGTCCATTCATCTCACTCGGTTGGGTCCTTTTGTATCCAGATAATCCAGACAAGAAACACCTGTGTCAAGCCTTCTTTGACCGCTACAAAAAGTGCTTAAAGGACCGTCGGGAGCGTGAAATTACGGAACGCAGAGCACGATTTCAACGATAAGTCATCTCATATCAATCAGCTACTTGGATGCTGTGTCAAAGAATACAGACGATTCACCTACTTTCTTATATACTTGGAAGCTCCTTGATACCGGCGTCTTCATCTGTTTCCAATCCAATTAAGGCCAGCACAGCCTTTGGCTTCTTTTCCATTCCATCGGCAATTTGGTTGACGCCATCCATCGCAATGCGTTTACGTGTCACCCACGCTGTCTGCTCACAAGAAACACGACCAAAGTGGTAACGATCTCATACAAAATCAAGCTGGAAACTAATAGCGTACGTACGCGATATTTCATAATCTTGCATTTCAATTCGTCCTTCCTGCCAGGAGACACAGGAGCTCGACCAGGTTGATCCAGTGTCTCGGCCTTTTTCTCTAGATTTTCTGCGTCCTCTTCAAGTTGTTTTATCGCCGTATCCAAGTCTACGTCGGAGATTTGTGAAGTGATGCCAGCCAAAGTAGCTTCTGCACTCTTCAACTCCTGCTCCAATGTAGCACATTCTGCAGTGACAGCTTTAATTTGTTCCTCCACTGCCATCCGTTCTTCTTCGGACGGTGTTGGCAAGTTGTTTTGATTCATGTAGTAGATTGCTGCCTTGCCGTACGTTTTGCTCGCCAACTCTTGTCTACAGCAGCCCCATAACACACAAAACCCATGAGAATAGACACTACTCCATCATCAAATTGACACTTTGTACTTGATCACAAGGTTGTCCAGTAACTTTGTCAGAGATGGTTTAGCAATGGCACGATGCATATTCTCAAACACATTAAGCAGACTATAAGGTCGATTGGTCTACCATATCAACATGCCATCACCGTCAGTCGATTAGTACACAACTCAATTGCACAGAGATCAAATAACTATTGCAATAGGACCTTGCGCATGTATTCCAGTACTGCCATTTCAGCATTTTCAGCTGTTATAACCTTTAGTGTTGAAGCTGCTGGAGACGTTTGAGCAGTAGTAGCTGCATCTTTTGCCTTGGAAACTGTAACCTTTGGACCAATTGATGTATTTTTCACTGGTAAAGAACGTGAGGTTGCGTTTGAGCGAATTTTTCTCGGTTTGGAGCTTTTGACAGCCGATTCTTGAGGTGACACTCGTGCTTTTTTGTGTTTCGGACCCGAGTCCTCGAGATCGGATGCGTCACTGGCAGTAGATTCTTCAGCAAAATCATCATCTTCTTCTTCTTCATTGTCATCGAGTGAGAATCGATCGTTATCTGAGGATTCGTCACCCAGAGAAAAGTCTTCGTCGTCAAAGTCGCTCATGAAGTCTCGAAATTGACAAATTTGGGAAAGGAGAGAGCAATATCACGATAGGAAATGCTTTACTAATTGATCGCGTTTGAAGCAGTGTGGGTGGGGGGGGTCTGGAATTCAAAAGTAGTACATCAACTGTTAAGGATTTATGGATGATGGATGTTATGGACTTGGGTGATATTGGTCAAAGCACTTTTAAGGAGGCATTTGACCTTTTAGATGCCGAGAAGCAGGTCCGTCTATTGATTGTCGATCTCTAGATAACGTTTTGAGAGATTCACAGCTTTGAGCATGCGAAAATGGTGTGACTAATAGTTCCTGAGTGTTTGACGGACAACCAGGACGATGAGCACAAGATCATCTTTCCAAAACTTCCACTTACTCTCCCGAAAGCATTTGTACAAACGTCTTTGTCGCTTGAGAATAATCAACTTGCACCACGACGCTGACTCACGTCATTCAAGTTGTAAAATTAAACTTAAAGTCGTTGCTTGTAGCTGCTGCTTCCATCGTATGTGCATCCATCATCATCTTTCGCTGTTGACGCTGCTTCATTGCTGCCAAATTTCGTCGTCCCTGGCCATATCGCAAGTGCATCTTGGCCACTTCACTCTCCGTCCCCGTCGCTTTGCGTAACTTCAAAAAGGATGAAGAGATGGCAAGATTCTCAGTCTTCACTTTGTCATTCATCTGCTTGGATCCGACTGACTTGTTCCTTTTGTCCTTTGCAGTGCCAATTGCCATCATGGGCACAACAGCATCAAGTCTTTCTCCACTCGTGACGTTCTCGATCGTTTTTCCTACTTTCTCCAACTTCTTCTTGGCTTTTCGTTTGCTCTTTCGCTTCCGATTCTTCTTGACATTCGTGCCAAGAGCTTGAACTTCTTCTGCAATCTGAAACTTAAACTTGAAAACCGTTTCTTCCGACTTCCAAAGCGCTTCCAGAATCTCATCGGGTGTCGCTTCTTTGACGTTCTCATTACACTTTTCCATTTGCTTAACAGTAGCCAAAATCCGTCTCTTGGTCTCGAAATGCGCTGCCAATGACGTTCCTGTCGGTGCTTCTTGTGTTCCATTCATTATTGTCTTCGCTAGTACGGGAAAAAGTGTACTTGAATGATACGATCATATGGTAATAGAGAGACAAAACGGAACGAACCTATCATATAGACACGTTTTTGACGTTAGTGAGAACCAATCGTGAACATGACGCTTGTATTCCTCGGAAATTCTGGTACGTCTTCCATGCGTGTATTTGTACCTTTCAATACCTTGTTAGTACAAGCAAATAAAGACATCTCTCAAGGCGCAGTCACTTTTGCACTTGACAATGTCTGTAGACTGAGAACTTGTGCTTTTCATGTCATTCAGCTCTCCGTCGAGTATCCAAGTCAGTGGCGGATGTCCAAGCCCCAGCGATCCGGAGATTGCTTGAATCAATGGAGAAGGAAGTGGTGCGATCTCACAGTATTTTTTCTTGGCAATGTGTTTTCACGATCTCATTGTGTTGATACGATCTGCATTTGTCAGCGTCAGGAGGCTGGTGTAGGCATCGCAGCTTCTCAACTTGCCCACAATTTGCGCATGTTTCTCATGATCAAGAACATGCCTGATAACGAAGATGAGCTGAGCAAGATGGAGTATCAGGAGGTGCTGAATCCAGAGATCGTGGCCATGTCCGACTCTGTCAAGCGCGACTTTGAAGGCTGTCTCAGTGTTCCCGGCTACCAGGGCATTGTTAAACGCGCACAACAAGTCCGAGTGCAATACCAAGACGGTCAAGGTCGCACAATCCAACAAACGTTGACGGATTTTCCTGCTCGCGTCTTTCAGCATGAAATGGACCATCTCAATGGTGTCATGTACCTCGACCGCATGGACCCCGGCAGCCTCATCCACAACGAAGAATTTGAAACGATGGAGTGGATTGACATTCAAAAGATGCTGCTGCAGGAACCACCAAAGATCCCTCCTCTCATGGCCTCGACATTTCCGACTGAAAACAGTCGTCATGGAAAGAGTAAAGACAATTACAAGATTAAGTACTAGGTAGATCCAATGCACCATTATCTTTGATCAATTAAATTCTCGTCGATAGAACAAAATGTTAGACATAATACTTGTCCGATCCTCTCTCTGTTGCTTCCAGAGCGTCAGCTTTTGCTCCCGTTTTCATTCGCAATGCTCGTTTCAATGGCGAGATACAATTCGCAGCCAGTACAGTCACACCTGCAACAAGTGCAATAAAAATAGTGGCATAGCGAAGTTTCGTCACTAACGACGTCTTGTAAAAAGTGTACCCATTGACTATGTTTTCAATGCATTCCATCCTCATTGTAATTGGTGTCATGTAATTGCGTCCATACTCAGCATTAGCCAAGTAACTAGGATTACGTGGTATCGTCACAGGCACATTCAAAAAAAATGCTGGTTTCTCATAAAGTGGCAAAATTTGGTCGTACAATAACCATTTGCTTCTAATAGTCCGATCATCATTCACAAGCCACTTGATACCGGTTTTTTCATCCACTTCTTGTCGATAGAGCCAAATATCAGCATGAGAACCTTTGGTCTCTTTATCCAAGTACAATTGTATCAATTCTCGTTCCCTATGGTAGAGCACAAATACCGGTCTCTGGAGCTCCAAATATGCTTCTTTTTTGACAATTTTCGAAAAATTAGCAAAACTGCCAAATTGACTAATAAAGTCCGTCTTGAGTATACCAATATCCGAATCTGTGTCCCCTACAGGAATACGACGTTGGCCTCGCATCACAAATAACAAATTACCAAATGCGACCCAATAGGGTACATTTTGGCGACCACATAATTCGTACACAAAACGTGCCAAATTCTCAATCTCGTAGTGAAATATCGCGCTATTAGGACACCCCCGTGAGTGATAAATCTCTAATAATACACCGAGGACGGCTAATATTGAGCTAAAAATTAGCAGTCCCAATAACAAGTACCATCGCTTTCTGCTGCGTTTGGAAATGTCTCCGAAATACACACGCCAACGAGGATGCAGTAACACAACAAGAGCAGCCATGGGGAGTAGTAGAGCCAGCAGGAACCAATTGCCATCAGCGATAAAAGAAGGCAGGAGCACCGTCATTATTATAGCTCAATTGGACAAATAAATCTTTACAATATATGTGATTTGACCGGTAGTTTTGGACGCAATCGTAGCGTAAAATGTATTATATATCACAGGTAATCAAATGTCCCCGACAATGTATCCATCTTTCAAGTGTTTACGGACTCGACGTTGATGGGAACTTATCTACGCAGATTAAACACAAGCCAACTTTGTATCACAACTACTGAGACAAATGGAAAATGCTTGAAACGGAGATAACGGCCACTGGAAATCCATCGTAAACATGTCGTCGGCTACACGACCAAATTGCAATATGTTGCCCATTGACGGATCTTCGCTGCTGATTAGCTGAAAGTTCTTGACAGACGCCATGGATACCCGTCCACCAAAGTCCAAACAATAGGCACCCAGGTCTTCACGAAAAACGGGCTCACGATTCGAAAAGCGCATCAAATCCTTCATCTCACCCGTGGAAAGACGAGTAACGAGTCGATCTTGGCGGCTCATGGGTCGTACAATTTTGGACGAACCACCTTCCTCGTCCACGTCAGGAATCACCACACGCATCTTCCGAGGACCCACACTCGTGCGATTAGGCTCGTACGTTACGCAACCCAGCTCTTCACGGATCTGAAACACGTTCTGGACGACAACATTGTCGGAGCTCACGGCATCCTGAATCTTCGCCAGCTTTTGTGGATCCCGGCCATTGTCGTAGAGTGTGAAACATGTACCGAGGAAATTAGAGCCCATGCGCCCAATACGTTTGGCATCTGTGCACTCTTTATCCGTGCAAATTGTGTAATTAGCCGTCATGTTTGAGCGCACCTGACGTCTTGCAGCCAGCAAAAACTTATCCTCTTCCTGAGTACCAATCTGACCCTGAAGATACAATTCGTAGCCATATTGTTTAAACATTCCACGGTACACTTGTTTCACGTAGCATCGAATGATACCTGCATCCAAGGGCACGGGTTGTATTGCCATCTTAGTCATATCTTGCAATTCCAGCTTTTGCATCGGCTGCAACACCAGTGGATCACAAGCACCTCGACACAATGGACAGCTACCCGATTGTCCCAACCACGCCATAATGCATCGATAATGCACAAATGCACCCGTGCATTGGCCCGTACACGGCAGGGGATAAGCTTTACGTCGTGCTGAGAAATCATCCATGCAAATTAAACACCCTTCACTATCATCCAAGGTTTCATCTCCTTTCTCTTCGAGCTCTTTAGTCATTGACATCTTTTCCAAATGCATTTTCACGTGACCACCTCCAATTGAAACTTTTCCTTCTTCATTTCCATCTGATTCTCTCTTGTTCCATTGTAATGTATCCACTTCTCCATCTTCCTCATCTTCTTCTTCTTTTTCCTTCTTCTTCTTCATCTCCAAAATTCACATGGACAGTACTAGAATCTACAGCAATTTGTGTGTGTTTCTGAGCACTTAAAGCACGTCTACGAGGTGAAAAAGTAGCCAATTCAACAGGTGGTGCGTCTACAAACGCAAGAGACGAGTGATGGACAGCTCGAGGTGATAAATGAAGCGGTGCAGCGTTTACTTCATTCATGGGCATCGTTGCAACGTTCAATAAGGCATTTCTTGGGCCACGAGTGTCTCCATGACGTGGAGAAACCATTGCTTCAGTCAATACACGCTCAAAATTCCGCATGACGTCACGGGCGTCCGTCGAGTCGTTTCGAGACGGCGAAACGTCTTGAAAAGACGCGACGTTTTGAGCAAACATATTATCGTTTAAACAATAAAATTAAATCCTCTTCTTTCGGTCACTTGATGCAAAGGAGAGACACTACGAACGACGGTATTTGTTGCTAGTGAATTCGTAGAGAGATAATGAGATGAAAGAGTAAAGAACGTATTCGAAAAAGTGACTCAATTTTCCTTCTCTCTCTCTCTCTCTCTCTCTTCCACCGACTAGTTAGGAATATTTAACAAGAAGGTGAAGGAAGGCCAGTCGACGTTTTTGTTTTTTACAAAGAAGGGTAAGAGAGAGGTTGCTGAAAAAGAGGAGTACTATTTGAAGACAATAGTAAATGAGTACTATTTTGACAATGACGGCATATTTCATACACACTAGCAAAAACACACTTCTTTTGTCGTACTATATGACTGTCTCTTGATAACTGTTCTATTGTGGACGAATGGCTGACGTGCTACCTCAACAATAAAGGCGACATGATCTGTTGTTGTCAAGTATTACACTTTTTGTCATGGACTTCATACCACCATACTCATATTTATAGGAATCTTATAAACGCAAAAGTACTACTATATCTATCTGTAAATACAATAAAATCGTTAAAATTATTTCGTGTGTGTGTGTGTACTTGAACGTTACATCACTTTATGCGTTTACATAGGTACAAATCCATTGGATATCAAAGATATTCAATCATTTCTCAATCGACGGCAGTAATCAACAGTACCTCTTAAATTTAATATTAACACGTACGTAACCCATGAACGTTCTCCTTTTCCTTCTCGCTAACGTCTTTTATCTCTATTTTTATAGCATGACCAAGAAAATATTATGCATGAATCCAGGTCCTATTGAGTTTGAGCCACGTGTGCTCCAATCGTTTGCTATGGAAGGCATTTCTCACGTGGATAAGACAGTCATTGAGATATTTGGTCAATGTCTTGAGAAAATGCGCAAGGTTTTCATGGCTTCTGATGGACAACCACTTGTCGTAGCGGGTTCTGGAACACTTGGATGGGATATGGTCGGCGCAAACCTCATTAACAAGGACGACGACGTGCTTGTTATTAATACCGGCACGTTTCATACTCTCTCTTTATTACTACTTTTTCTTACGAGAAAAAAGTACTGATTATTATTAATTTATACAGGTTATTTTGGTGATAATTTTGCCCAGTGTTTACAACACTATGGAGCCAAGATTACTCATCTTCGTGGCAAGGTACAGGAGAAAAACGAGTTGTTTATTGTTGATGGATTGCAATGAGAATTGTTCTGATTGGTACTTGTGTTTTTTTCTGGTATTACAAGCAGATTGGCGCACAACCTTCAGTTTTGGAATTGGAAAAAGTGCTGGAAAGTGGTGTAAGTTTTAAAGCCGTGACGATCACACATGTCGATACGTCTACGGGTGTACGTGCTCATGTGAAGAAATTTGCAGCTGCAATTCGTCGTATTCAACCGGATACTGTCATTGTGGTGGATGGTGTGTGTGCCACGGGTGGCGAAGAAACTCGTATGAAGCAGTGGGACCTCGATGTGGTGCTTACGGGCTCGCAGAAATGCATTGGCGTGCCTGCTGGATTGTGTCTCATGGTTGTCCGTCCACGTGCGCTGCAGTTGTTTGAGAAGAACACATCTACAGTCAAGTATTATGTGGACTGGCACAATTGGTTACCGATCATGAAGAACTATGAGGCTCGTCAACCAAGTTATTTTGCCACCCCGGCAGTGAATCATTTGTTCGCCCTGAACGTAGCGCTGGATATTTTACTCGAGAATGGAGGCATGGAGCAGCGCTTTGAAGAGCATAAACGCATTGGTGACGCCATCAAGGAAGCTATAAAGACGCTGGGATGCTCGCTTGTGACCGTTGATGACAGTGGAGCAAACACGTTGACGTGCGTGCGCTACCCCACCGGTGTAGGTGCAGCTGACTTTTTGCCAAAAGTGGTAAAACGTGGTGTGTCACTTGCAGGTGGACTGCACAAAGCTATCAAGACGGAATACTTTCGTATTGGCCACATGGGCCCAAGTACGCGCCGTTTGGACCACATTTTAAGGACAGTGGAAGCCATTGAAGGTGCATTCATCGAGTGCGGTCACAAGGTGATGCAACCTGGTAAAGCGGCCAAGAATCTCAAGAAGAAACTCGAAGGAACTATTCCTTTGCATCCAGTGTGCGACTATGCTTCGGTGTATCACGGCTGCCCCGTCCCTCCAAAATGTCAAGTCTATTCAATTGGCACGGTGATTGTTGCATTTGCTGCTGGAATGTTGATCTCACACTTGAAGCATAGTAATGCTTAGACATTCTGCTTCAAGTACATGATCAAAACGCCTGGAAGTTGACGAGATGAGAGACAAAAGCATGGAGAAGTGAGAGCTTGGTTCGAAGTGATTATATAACCCACTTTTGATCCCTTATTGCGTCAATTAAACCCATCCAACAAGACACCTAATTCATCACCAAAACCCTTCATCTTTAACTGGTCTTTTTCGATTTACCCCTCAGTCTCCACTATTTATTCTTCAAAAACCCCAAATCTCAGCACTACCTATGGAAGCTCTCCGTCTCGCTTTCTGGCGAAAACCTCTTGTAAATGCATCACTTTCTCCTTCTCTTTCCATTCAAGATGACAATATGCTAGAGATTAAACGGACTCTTGGTCTATTTGACTTGATTATGATTGGTATTGGAGGTACGGTCGGTACGGGTGTTTTTGCGACTTCGGGTTTTATTGCAAGTAGTTATGCTGGTCCTGCTGCGACCTTGTCGTGGTTATTAGCTGGTATTGGCTGTCTCTTGAGTGCTTTTAGCTTTATGGAACTTTCCTGTCTGATTCCAAGTGCAGGGAGTACTTATGCTTATACTTATTATGCTTTGGGTGAATTACCAGCTTTAGTTGCTGGGTTTTTATTAACGTTAGAGTATGGAGTCTCGAGTGCTGGAGGAGCACGGAGTTGGAGTGATAAATTAACTCAATGGATGGATTCTCAATTAGGTATCCAAGGTCCCAATTGGATGAAACCACTGGATTCAAGTATTGATTTGTATGCAGGCCTATTAATGGCAAGTAGTACTGCGATAGTACTTTGTGGTATGCAAGCTGGCAAATGGGTCATTAATATTGTCACGATGACGAAAATAATAGTTGTACTATTTATCATTGTCATTGGGTTACTACATTTTCAACTGGACAAGGTCTCACCTTTTATACCGGATCAAAGTCTTGTGGAACTACAGGGACAAGATCAATTGGCATTTGGATGGCCTGGTATTTTATTAGGAACAAGTGCAAGTTTTTATGGCTACATTGGGTATGATGAAGTCTGTTGTCTTGCAGGTGAAGCAAAAAATCCTGCCCGAAATATTCCACGGGCTGTCATTGGAACAATTTTGGGAGCTGCTACATTGAGTATTCTTGCAACATTGGCACTTGTTGGCATGCAAACGTACACGGAAATTGACGCGGAGGAATCCTATGGCAATGCATTTTCCAGTATTGGATTAAATTGGGCAGCATCCTTTGTAGCATCAGGCGAAGTGCTGACAATGCCAGTGACATCATTCATTGGGTTTCTAGCACAACCACGTGTGCAATACGCAATGGCCAAGGATGGATTATTGCCACCGGTGTTTGCTCATGTTGATGCAAATGGTAATCTCTTTTGTGGCACATTATTGTGTGGAATTGGAGTCACGTTGCTTGCTGTGTTTGTGCCATTTCACGTGCTTTGGAACTTTATTTCGCTTGGAATTCTCGTTGCATTCAACTTAACCAACAGTTCCCTCCTTTTAGTTCGTGCTTCGAACCACACGAAATCGCAAGAAAGTGAAACAAAAGAGTCGTCACGAAACCATTCGCACGGTGCTACGATAGCTGGGTACTTTGTGTCGTCTTTTCTTGCAGCTTTTCACTGGCAAAAGGGTGTTGTTGCTACCGTTTCGATCTCTGCAACAGCTGACATGTCGATTTTTGACAGCTATATGCAGACGATGGGGCCGTTTGTCGCTGCTTTTTTTACGGTGGTCGCCATTGCGCTTATGTTTGCGCTGAGTGGCACTGGAAAGGAGCAGACCATTGCCGCGAAAGTAGCCGTTGCAAAAGCAAAGCCTCAATTGAAAACACCCATGACGATTGTTGTATCTTCAAAGAAGCAGCAAGATTCATCTGAGACTGGTCATGTGAGCTCTCATCATCGAAACCTCTCTTCGAGTCGAGACAATAATGAAAATGATCTGAAGACTAAAGTTGAGGAGATGGAGCGTCCGAGAGAATTTTTCGAACGAACGTCTTGTCTCGAACAACTCAGTACACATCCCAACGAAGCCACAGTGGATAGCAGCGAGAGCGACGAAGACAAGATTGAATCTTTCAACAGCAGTCACGAAAACGATGCGAAGAAGGATGCAGTGTCAACATTTCGAGCACCGTTCGTGCCTTTTGCACCTTGCGTGGCTATTTTTTTCAACTGGTTTTTGTTTGCTCAAATGGACGGGACGAGTGTCGTACTCATCGTGGTCTGGTTGCTGGTTGCTGTGACTGTCTACTTTGGTTACAGCCGTCATCACAGCCTGGCCTTCCAGCAGACCAAGTACCATCAACTTGCACAGCACTAAAGGACAAGGTCCAAGGACAACATTGGAATAAGAGTATCGCTTTAGGACAAGTCGCAGTCGTGGCATTATACATGCACTATTAGAAAACGTTGAAGCCTGAGCATTGATGATGTCTCCTCTTGACATGTTCTTCCACTGAATCCATAAGACTCTTTAGACTGAAGCGATCAATATTACATGTACTCAAAATCGATAAGCACCAACACCAGCAATGGCCATGGCACTACCTGAATGAAAATACGTAATTGCTTATCAGAAGAAGCAAACAAAAACGTAGCGCTCGCGTTTTCTCATCGAGACGTTTAAAAAACTGGCATACATCGCCCAAAATCCACGCGTCTTGTGTCCGCATCAGCTCCGTTTTACAGATCGACCTCGTTGTTGCGCTGGTGATTATTCTGCTGTGCCACAAAGTGATTCTGCTGCATGTTGTAAGTGTTCATCTGCTGGGGCTGAGATCCATGAGGTTGGTTGCCGTAGTTGTGATTAACGTTGGAAGGAGTCTGCTGTGCGTAGTGGTCTTGCATCTTCGGAGTCGTATCGCCCAACACAGCCAGCGAATTGCCGCGGCCCTTGTTGCTGCAATATTGCGGCTCGCCACCTAGAGCAAAGAAACCCTCGGAGCCTGCGCGGGCGCTCGTCGTCTGCATCGTGACCGTCTTGTTGTCTGTTGACGTACCGTCACGCTTAAGCTTCCACGTGCGGTAGAAGATGTAGACTTGACGAATCATTAGACACAAAAGCACCAGCACCTGCAAACCCACAATAGCAAAAGCCACACCCTCACGAAGGTCATCCGGGATACTCTCCGTGAAGCTCGTGGCGCTTGACAGGAGGAAAAAACTCAAGAAAAGAGCCGAGATCTTGATAATAATGACAAAGCTCGACGTCTTCTGCACAAAAGCTGTGGGGTACGGCTGCTTGATCTCAAGGTACAGTAGGAATACAATATGGAGCGCAATAAGAACGATAATCTGCCAGAGTCCCTGAATCCAGACCATGCCCGTAGTCATACCGCAGAGAAGCGCCAATAGAAGCTTAGGTGCGAAGAAGAAGCGGCCCTCAAAGCTATGTTCATCGTACAGCGGTCCATAACGGTTGTGGAACTTCTTGTCAAAGTGGTCCTTCGTACCCAAGTCACGCAGCTCATCTTCGTTGTTCTTGATGACAATAACGCCATAAAGAATCGTGCCGAATGCCAACCCCAGCAGTGCGGCAATAGCCAAAAAGAAGCTCACGTCCACAGAGTCGTGGTCAATGCAGTAGCAAATCTGGTACATGGCTGTAGCACCGACCACATACTCGGACAGGATCAAAATCATCATGAGCACGCCAATGGCTTTATCGAGCCACTTGCGGCTAAATGTCGTAAAGTCTTTTACAATAAAGTAACACACACCCATTGCCATCACGTAAAGCCCGAAGACGATACCAACCATGCAGGCAATGCCAGCCACAGCCAGGTAGAACAACATGTCAGGGTCCACACCAATAAGGGCCGCGTACTTCTCCATACCCTGTATACCCGACGTCGCAGTACCCGGTCCCGAGCCATGGCTGGAGCTGCCATTTGCACTACTGTCATCGGCCAAACGACGCGAAGTGGCCGTAGATCCTGCCGGATTCAAATCATCGGATGGCGTCGGTTTAGACTTGCCGAAGGGCAGGAACGTAAAAGTAGCAGGAGCCATCCTCCTGCCCATGTTCTCCATGAAACGCGGACGAGCGTCAACGTTCATCTGGGTAAGCATGATCGAAAACTGGCAGATATCTACAGCAGCTAAAGTAATCCCCACACTGGCAGCTGCCGACATACTCGAGGCCACACCGACCGAGGTACCACCAACAATGCCACTGGCCACCGACATGACACCCCCCGCAACAATGGAAACCGTAGCCGCACCGCTAGCAATGGTCGTTGACGCAATGCCAGCCTTGTCCACCGTGGTCTTTTTAGTACCATCAGGCCAATGGTGCGAGTCCTCAAGACCCTTATTAAAAGGCACCGTATACTGCAAATTTGAAGTCTCCGACGCGCCAGCCGCGCCAGATGAAGGTGTCGTGCTCATTCCACCCGCACATTGGCAGTCACTGAACGAATTGTCGCTAGTGTAGTCACACTTTGTTGTCACAGCAAATGTGAGATTCGAAAAAGGCTGTTGAACGCTATCAGCCGCAGCTTCCGCCGCCTGTGGTCCAGCATAACTCATGAGCGTAATGAAATCCAAATTTGCGTAAATGGACGAGTTCATCCCTTCATTGGACGAATAGTCCCATATACCATTGTTACATGCCGGGAAGCGACAACTTGACATACACGTAGCCAGATCAAAAATCTCTGTCCCCGATGATAGTCCCGAGTAAATTAAACATTCAGCGGACGCTACAGCGGCCACAATGTCCAATTCAGTACCTTTACATGTCAATCCCATCGTGTGCCATGCACTATAAAAGGTTTCGTCACAACTAAACTCAATTGACGTGGACTCCGGTTTTTCCCTCGAGCCAGTACCGTCTCCTATTCCAGGCATAAGTGGCAACTCCATCTGCTTTTGCATGTCAGGTATTGCAGTCGATTTGGCCGATGTGGCATTTGGTATCTCTGATGGGGTCTTAGTAGGGGACGATGGGGTCGCACTAGTGGACGATGGGGTCGTGTTCGTGGACGATGGGGTCGTGTTCGTGGACGATGGGGTCGTGTTCGTGGACGATGGGGTCGTATTAGTGGACGAAGGGGTTGTGGTAATGGACGGTGGGGTCGTATCAGTGGACGGCGGGGTCGTGTTCGTGGACGAAGGGGTCGTGTTCGTGGACGAAGGGGTCGTATTAGTGGACGATGGGGTCGTATTAGTGGACGATGGGGTCGTGGTAGTGGACGGTGGGGTCGTGGTAGTCGGTGAAGCGATGGGCTCGGCCGAATCTGAAGTGTCTGACATCCCTTCAGCTGCAGTAGCTGTGGTCTCACCCACTAGACGACGATTGTCATCTGATCCAGTGGGCGAAGTCGTCTTGGCTGTCGTGGTGGACACTAATTCATCCAAAGTGGAGGTGGACTCTTCTGTCTTGGAAGACGTTAATGTCTTGGTAGTAGACTTTTGTGTCTCTGGAGTGGACGCTGGTGCCTTTGGAGTAGATGCTGGTGTCTCTGTAGTACTGGACGCTGGTGCCTTTGGAGTCTCTGTAGTAGACGTTTTTGTCTCTGGAGTGGACGCTGGTGCCTTTGTAGTGGACGCTGGTGTCTCTGGAGTGGACGATTTTGTCTCTTGAGTGGACGTTTTCGTCTCGGGAGTGGACGATTTGACCTCAGGAGTGGACGATTTGACCTCAGGAGTGGACGCTTTTGTCTCTGAAGTGGACGGTGGTGTCTCCGGAGTGGACGATGGTGTCTCTGAGGTGGACGATGGTGTTTTTGTAGTGGACGCCGGCGTCTTGGATACATTTTCTTTCCCATTTTTATCATTAGACGAGCTTGAAGTGTCCAACTCCGAAACGTCTTTACCAAGATCGTCCTCCGATCCATTTTCTACACTGTCGGTAATTACTTCCTTTTTGTCGTCCGAATCACTATCTGGTAACGTGGTGGACGTAATTAATGGTGTAGACACACCACTTGGTAAATTTGTGGCCGTTGGCATTGAGTACCGAAATACACAAGACACAGGCTCCTTCTCGATTGTAATAGGGTTGTTACTTCCAGATGAAGTGGACACTGTCGACGTGGGAACGGTCGGTGAAGTGGACGTTGTTGGAGACGTTTGCGCAGTTGCGACACCAAGTGCCACAGCGACACTTGCTGCTGCTGCATATATGCGCATCGTTTATTACCTAAAGAGACAGGGGGGGGGGTAGCGTCTGTGATCCTCTGCCGTGAGCAAATGTCCTGTCGCTTTAAGCCAATTTGCTTCCAACAAGTCCCTCTTTACGCAAAAAACGCCGTCGCTACGAATTGATTTTTGCCTTTTCACTTATGCAGTGCGATTGACAGACTGAACGAAAGAGTCAGCGTTTTTTTTGCGGTAGAGGACTAGGGTGTAAGATGTGGTGAGGCCATGGACGGAACGATCAACCAATCAGCACGCGTTTGCATCGCAAATATCTTATTTTCAGTATGCCCTTATTATCTGAACAGCATTTTGAGATGCTACGATTGGTAATGTAGTCATCACGACAGCACTCAAGCTGGTTGCGAAATAATACTAGCATACAGTATATATGGAATTGTAGACGGCGCACCCTCTCGATATAGCTGCGCAGACGCAATATGATGGAATAATAGACTCGAGTCTTCGTAGTTCTAGCCACCACCGCAAAGTTAATGCTAGTTAGCTACCACTACCTCTAAATAGCAATGCATACTGACCGACATCAGTCAAATTGACATTGCTGTGCGAACACCCCCCTGTCGTCACACCATAGTACTCGCTTGAAAGGCCAGAAGACACCTTTTTTTTGCATCACCTTCATCACCGGTACTAACCTCATCAGCTGAGGAAACATCAGCCAGCCGAATCATTTTCATTCTCCTAGTCGTCTTTGTGTAGGATGATAGTGTCATGTCCTCAAATAATACAAGCATAAAGTTGTGCCTTCTTTTCTATCGTTTGCACTGCGACAGTGTTGTTTTTTTTGATTTGAGGCGAGCATTCGCTACGAGACTCTGCAAAATTGTGTGGACAATGACAGAAAGAAATACAAATGTGTAGGGTTGATACTGCATGCTAGTTCACCTCACAATGAATCCTACTAAGGTTGCTTCTTGATTCTGGCCACTAGACGTAACGAGTGGACCTGCTGCGTGACAACCGTAGCGCTGGAGTGACATGATAGCAACTACATGCAATAGGAAAGGGAATTGTGTAGTTGCAATAAGGACGTCGGCGGAGGATGACGTCCACGATCATTCCAGTAGCCAAGAAAAGATTGCTTTACGTATTGCAACCGTCTCATTATATTATTTTCTTGATCTCTAGTCGCCCACCCCGTCGATGGTCTGGTACATTAGGTTCTGCCATAGACATAGCAAGAACAAGCTATCATTGCAAGTCGGAAATACGTCCATGCTAACCATTATGTGAGTTTCTTTGAGACCGCCTTATTCATTGATCATAGTCCGATAGATTGTCCAAGCCGCCAACACATGAATTTCTTCTCCATCAAGATCAGCTCGCTCAGCCGAAGGTCGCATCTGCACTTCAGCCGTGGACGTTTAAGTCTTTCAAACGACGTTAAAATCAGGCTGTTCCACGCCCACTATTGTGCTATATTAACTCTCCATGAAAAAAATGAGCCCCCTTCACTCTGCATCTCCAATGCTGACTCAATTGCAGCTACACTTCTTTTTATACCACTAGGGTCCTTAAATGCTTCTTAAAGCCGTGCAGTCAAGAGTTCCCAACGTTTACAAGAATTATCGTACCCTGACACCCTGCACGTGAACAGCAATTCGATATTGAAATAGCACGGAGAAAAGACTACGACGTATACTTCTTCGACGCCACGGGGCCATGCCGCAAGCCCATTAGTTTTGCTTTCGCTCTCGCTTGAGCAGAATCTCGCTATCGATTCTTGATCTAGCTCATGTAGCTTTCTGACAAACTTGTAGTTGTTTGTATGCCAAGTTCCCGGCTGCATCGCTCAGCATTATCACTATTGAAAGGTCGCAATTGATGTTAAAAAGGTCACGATCCTCGGAGATGGCGAATTAAAGTGAGAGCGACGGCAGAGCAACTCTTGCGGACTTAATATGAAGTGATCGATGGTAGCGGACTCAAGAGATAGCTAGGATCCTACATTTCGTTTCTCATTTACCTTCTTCCTACCAAGTACCAAGTACATATAAATGATCATAACGTCCCAGTCTTTATCACTAAATTGCTCATTTTGATCGTGCAAGTGTATACTTTAGGGTCTAAATCACTATTTTAGTGACAGCCGTATTTCATGTGGCCCACCCCACCCCCCCCCTCTTGATAACTACTATAAGGTCTTAACTAAAGATGCAAGGCTCTAGACGTGTCTTGTTCCGTACCATTGCGCGTGCTAACGATGCCACTTCTCGCTCTCTTTCTTCTTTTAAAAGAAGTGCCATCATCTCAGCTTCAATCTCATGTAAATTGAATGTGAAAATGTTATCTCGTTCGTCTGCTAGACCTATACAATCTTTGAGTCCAAACGTCATGTCGTCTCTTCAAGTTCGCCTCTATTCCATCTCTATGGAGATAATAGACGTACCTGTACCGTCTATGGGTGACTCTATCTCGGAAGGGACAATTGTGGAATGGCTGAAACAACCAGGAGATGCTGTAGTTGAAGATGAAGTCGTTGTTGTGCTTGAAACGGATAAAGTGAGTGTTGATGTACGTTCACCTATTGCTGGAGCCATGGGGAAGCAATTAGCAGCTATTGATGAGAATGTGCTAGTAAATGCACCATTATTTCAAGTCATTAAAGGGGCAGGAGATGTCAAATCGACGCCAGAAGTCCAGACAGAGACAGAGATCGAGTCGGAGACGACGTCGAGGGCTCTAAATGATGAAGAGATGATGATCTCGGTGCCGTCTATGGGTGACTCTATTTCGGAAGGGACGATTGTCAATTGGATGAAGAAACGTGGAGAGTTTGTGGCTGAAGATGACGTTGTTGTCGTGCTAGAGACGGATAAAGTTAGTGTTGATGTTCGTGCTCCAAAAAGTGGCACGATTACAAACACATTGGCTACTGTGGATCAAACGGTCAAGATTGGTGAACCACTTTTCCAAATGGTTACAGGTGGAGACGCTCCTGCAGCTGCTGCTGCTACTTCGACGTCAGATACGGCGGCGACATCGACACCTGCTGCTATTTCGGAGCCTGCTGCCATCCCAAAGCCTGTCGCTATTCCGGAGCCTGTGAATACTACTAACAATCCGTTGCTGGCTACACTTGAGCGTGCGTCTCGTCGTGAGAAGATGAGTCGCATGCGTCTGCGTACGGCTGAACGTCTGAAAGAATCGCAGAATACGGCAGCGAGTCTTACGACCTTCCAGGAGGTGGACATGTCGAAGCTTATGGGTCTACGTAAGCAGTACAAGGACGCGTTCGAAGCTAAGCACGGTGTCAAGCTGGGTTTCATGTCGGCTTTCGTCAAGGCTAGTGCCTCTGCGTTGATGGAGGTTCCGGGTGTAAATGCCATGATTGACGATGAGCACCAGGAGATTGTTTACCGTGACTATGTGGATATGAGCGTGGCCGTCTCGACATCTAAGGGTCTAGTGACGCCGGTGCTGAAAAATACCGAGTCTATGAGCTTTGCTGATGTGGAAAAAGGGTTGGCGGAGCTTGCAGCTCGTGCACGTGATGGCAAGTTGACGCTGGAGGAGATGACCGGTGGCAACTTTACAATCTCGAACGGTGGTGTCTTTGGCTCATTGATGGGCACACCAATCATCAATCTGCCGCAGTCGGGTATTCTCGGTATGCACGGGACGAAGATGCGCCCTGTAGTTGTGGACGGCGAGGTGGTTGCTCGTCCCATGATGTACCTTGCACTTACGTACGACCATCGCCTCGTTGACGGACGTGAGGGTGTCACGTGCCTCAAAGCTATTGCTGACAAAATTGAGAACCCGGAGCGACTTTTGCTCGACATTTGAGTTACTTTGATAGATGGACTACTCCTGTAATGAGCGTGGCGAGGAATAGGAGCTCAAAGTCATTGAAGAGTGCAATCGAGGCATTTACCAATATAGCAAAGGTACTAATGGTATTGGATTCCGCCTCACAATTTCTTGTCTCACATATAGAAGATCATCACGTACTATTGCGACTTGATCGTCAATTCCTTATAGTCATGGACTACATCGCTGCAATAATGTGGTTCACACTACAATACAGCGGCATGCGGTTCATAGTGGTTGGCCACGGCATTCCAGTAGCTCGTACTTTTCTTCTGTCATCTCGTTTCTTCTCAATTCCTCCTCATTGCATTGAAATGGCTTCTTTAAAAGAGCTGAAATGGGTCAATGCTCGTCCCGATGATATGCACCATCACTTGCGCGATGGATACGATGCATTGGCTTGTACCGTGTCCCACGTGACATCTCAATTTGCACGTTGTATCGTAATGCCCAACCTGGTGCCACCCGTAACGACTACGGAGATGGCATTGGCATATCGAGAACGGATCATGGCTCATGTACCACCTGAGAAGCGCGAACCCAATAGCGCCAATGGATTTGAGCCGTTAATGACCCTCTATATGACGGATGGCACCTCGGCCGACGAGATCCGTCGCGCTGCTGCCACCAACAAGATTGTTGCTGTCAAACTGTATCCCGGTACGTACGGAGTTAGAAACACGCACTGCATGTGCTGACTTACTCACAACTTCCAATATCAATTTGTAGCGGGAGCAACGACCAACTCGGATTCCGGTGTGACCAAAATTGACAACATTTATTCGGCACTGGAAGCCATGAGCGAAGTCGGAATGCCCTTGTTAGTGCACGGTGAAGTCACTGACTCGTCTGTGGATCTGTTTGACCGAGAGGCGACGTTTGTCGAGCAGGTGATTAAACCGTTGGTAAACAAATTCCCTCAGCTCAAAGTTGTGATGGAGCATATTACCACGAAAGAAGCGGCCGAATTCGTCTCGAACGCACCGGCAAACGTCGCTGCGACTATCACACCGCAGCACTTACTGTACAATCGCAATGCGATTTTTCAAGGTGGACTCCGTCCACACAAGTATTGTCTCCCGGTACTGAAGCGCGAAACCCATCGTCAGGCTTTGTTACAAGCTATCGCGAGTGGAAGCAAGAAATTTTTCCTCGGTACAGACAGTGCCCCGCACGTATCTTCCAAGAAAGAATCTGGCTGCGGTTGCGCCGGCATATACTCAGCCCACGCTGCACTTGAGCTGTACGCTGAGGCATTTGAGTCCATCGGCAAGCTCGATCTCTTACGTGCGTTTGCATGCGAAAACGGCGCCGACTTTTACGGTCTAAAGCGCAACACATTAGGTGATACCGTTTTAGCGCAGGAAGAGTGGAAGGTGCCCGACAAGTATCCGTTCGACAACGGATTCGTCGTACCTCTTAAAGCCGGCGAGACGATCCGCTGGAAGCTGCAGCAGTAAATGCCTTCCAAGCTTTCAACTCGATCTTTGCTTCGTGTTTAGAATGCAGACTGAGTAGAGGTGATCTTTTTTCACGCAGTAGATAAAGAGATGTCCAGGCTAGCGCGTTTTTCTCTCGTCTTCATCTCAAATACTGACTTTAAAATCCGACACGTTGGTTCATGTACTGTTGATGATGTCAAATCGGGTGAAGATAAGCTCTCGTTCGCAGTAGATATATCGCTTTTCTTCTTCTTGCCAGTTGTCATGACACTTCCTCGTACAATCAGTGCAGTCAAAAAGCTCAAAAAGTCCGAAAAATCACGAAACACTTGACTCACGCGATAGCACGTCTTGCCGACGTTGTTATCAGGCTGCAAAGGATCCTCGATTACAAGCAAACCGTCGCGAGAAACCGGCTGTGCTAGCATTACTACAGGGTTCGAGCAAGAATGTTTCATCGTCGGGGAAGAGTAAAGAGAAGGAGATAGAGCGTGTAGAGGCGGCGACATTGCTTTTACAATTGGTGATGTTGGCTCAGCCCTTGATACAATCGAAATCAGGTCAAGATTCTGTCTGAAGTCGTTTCCGTAAAACTGCAAGAAATCCATAAGCAATTTTCCAAGCAGATATGGTCTAACCTCGTGCTCACATCCGTTTTCCGAGCCAGTAACAAAGGAAGGAAGCACTGCTCGCTTTGCTCCCTTCCTTTGTATTTTATCTGTCTCGGCTTTCTTTGGTAGTTGTCTTGCTGAGCATTGTTTGATGATTTCCTTGCCAATCAGCTCCCCCTTAAGACATTGAGATTCATAGCGCACGTTCCAGCGAGTATGTGCAGGCGGAGCAGCTCGCTTTACCTTGTCAAAATCATCGTCGTCGACTAATTCATGTGCAAGCTCTTGCCCACCGCCCATCGAGATCAGAGCCCCTTGCTCTTGCAGCACAAACACTACCATTAACAGTAAGCCGTAGGATGACAAACCTCCAACGTACGGATCATTTAGCCCACGCTCCACCAAAAAATGCTTCAGTACAAGAGTCAGCTCCCGCAGTCCGTAAAATGCACTTGCGAGACATTGTACCATCGTAGCACTTGCCACTCCATTGTGGTGAATGCCGTACGGCTCGTCAAATGTAATATCAACCGGAATTTGTCGCACGACCGCCCCGCCATACTCAGGGTTGTTGCGGTTTGTTTTCTTTGCATTATCAACCGTCACCCGGACCACCACTTTCAATAATGGGATGGACGCGCGAGTTATTGTTTTTACATCGACATATGTAGACAGCTCCCGGAAATGTTCAGCCAAAGTCTCCACACACTGTTGACCGGTAAAATTAAACTCTTCCGATGCTCCAAAGACTACAAGGTCTACATCACTTGCTTCTCCGTGTAATCGTGTTGCAAAAGATCCATACCCTTCGACTTGCACGCAGTGGTTCCATAGAATTTCTATCTCCTCAGTCACCATTGCTATAGCTTTCTGCATCCAGGGAAGCTTTTCCCTCGCTTCCCGTCTGTGATGATTGTAAAAGTCCACAATCTCGTCGTGAAGTACAACCTGCATCATGGTCGTTTGTTCTTCGTAGAGCCTCTGTAAATTGCCAAACGAAAGTCCACTTCCGTTTGCTCCTTCTTCCACTCGATCTTCATCCATTCGGCGTTCCCGTTCTTTCTCTGTTGCTTGAATCACATTTCGTCGCCCTTCCAGTCGTTCTTCCCACTCTTTTTCTCGTGAAATGCCATTGACAGGACAATTTGCAAGATGTTCAGCCAAATTCTCTCGTGGACAAATCTCTTTACATCCTAAGACTGCATTTGGACACACGACATCGTATGAGTAAAAATCCGTTGTCGTATCTTCCACCACTTGATCCAAAGTATCAGGCACCTGTCGATAGACACATCTCACTAAATGCATCTCTAAATCCTTCAACATGCAGCTAAAAGTACAACCAAACCAGCTATTAGGACACACGACCTCATAATCCTCTGAAAACCTCGAGATTGTCGATTGGAACCACTGGGTATTCTTCATATTGTCCAGAAACATCTCTCGCATCATCGCTTCTTGTTCTTTTTCGATAGTAGCAATAGCCCATTGTCTTCTCCGTTGTATCTCTTCTTCTTCTTCACATTGCAATTGTTTCAACACATTTAATCGTCTCGTTCGTTCCTTTTCAGCTGCTTCAATGACCCAATGGGTCCAATAAGCTCGTTCCGCAGCCTGCTGTTCCTGTTCTCCCCTTATAACTGCACGATCTTCTGCACTTATCGTTACATGTTTCATAAGTTTCAAAGTGGATCCACTAGAGCTACTAATTAAAGTATCTGAGCTGGTTTTAAGCTCATTTGCTACCGATTTTACGGAATTTATCGATTCGGACGTTGATCCAGCCACATTTTGGCGTCGTTCTGGCGCTAGAGAATGATTCAAGTCACGAGAAGCAATCTTCTTCTTTGTACGTCGCTTACGGGGACCAGTATGTTTCTTTTGTGGCTTCTTGATGTCTAGATCCGGTGCTATAGTGTCCAGCATTGGCGTCTCTTGAGTCATCGTCTGTCGTATAGAATTAGCACGATATATTAGTAAATGGTGTTTTAGACACTACTTCGCATGTAATGTAACCCACACTAAAAATACAACACTAGATCCTAATGCTATGTGGTACACATCAACTCGGTACCTCCGCTATATCTAAGCAAAGAAAAAATGAAGGTTGAGATTGATGGCCTCGAAGTGATTTTCCCGTATGAGCGCATGTACTCGGAGCAATTGCAGTACATGCGTGAATTAAAGCGTGCTCTTGATGCACAGGGCCATTGTATGCTGGAAATGCCTACGGGTACTGGCAAGACCGTGTCTTTGTTGTCCCTTGTATTAGCCTATAAACACGCCCATCCGACTGTTGGAAAATTGGTGTATTGTACACGAACGGTCCCCGAAATGGCCAAATGTGTCGAAGAGATCAAGAAATTAATTGCGTGTCGTACACAATATTATGGCGACAGGGCCCAGGTGACGGCTGTGTGTCTCAGCTCGAGACGAAATATGTGTGTACACCCAAGAGTTATGGCCCATGCTGACGGTGAAGACGTCGATGGTCAATGTCGAAAGATGACGGCATCATGGGTTAGGGCAAAAGCGGCTCAAGCGAATAATAGCAATCAAGCCAGTTCGATGCCCCCCACTGAAATCCCAGAAACTTGTTCTTTTTTTGAAAAGTACGAAACGCGAAAAAGTGACGAGACAATTTTACCACCTGGTGTTTATGCAGTGGATGATTTAAAAGAATTGGGTGTTCAAAAAGGCTTGTGTCCCTATTTTTTAACACGATATGTCGTTACTTATGCTGATATAGTGGTATACAATTATCAGTACATGCTGGATCCTAAAGTTAGTCAATTAGTATCCAGGAGCTTTGAAAAAGAGAGTGTTATCGTGTTTGATGAAGCACATAATATTGATAATGTGTGCATTGAAGCACTAAGTGTTGATTTGGATCGACGAGGACTTGATCGAGCATCGAGGAATTTGACGACGTTGTCCAGTCAAGTGAACAAATTGAAGCAAGCGGACAAATCTCGATTGGATGCAGAATATCGACGATTGGTAGAAGGTCTTCGTTCTAGTAACGCCGTAGTGGCACCCACGTATACGAATCCGACCACAAATCAAGCCATTGAAACAAATCATGATATTATGCTCGGAAACCCCGTGTTGCCAGATGATGTACTGGATGAAGCTATTCCGGGTAACATTCGACGGGCGGAACACTTCGTCGCATTTATGCGTCGACTGATTGAGTATTTGCGTCAACGAATCCGAGTACGACAGGTGGAATCTGAGACGCCCCAGGCTTTTCTTCATCAGTTACACCAGGCTATTAGTGTGGACATTAAGCCCATGAAGTTTTGTTATACGCGACTTAATTCACTCTTACGTACGCTAGAAGTGACGAATTTGGAGGAGTTTAACTCGTTGACACATGTAGCAGATTTTGCGACATTGGTGGCCACCTACGCAGAAGGGTTTATGCTGATCATTGAGCCATTTGATAGTTCTTCAGGTGTTCATGATCCTGTGCTGCAGCTTACGTGCTTGGATGCTTCACTGGCGATTCGTCCGGTGTTTGAGCGTTTCTCTAGCGTCATTATTACATCTGGAACATTGTCCCCAATTGATTTGTACCCTCGACTACTAAATTTTAACCCAGTAATTCGAGAATCGCTGCCTATGTCTGTGTATCGCTCGAGTATTTGTCCCTTGGTGATCACACGTGGTAGTGACCAGATGCCGGTTAGCACCAAGTTTGACCTTCGAGACGATTTATCTGTTGTGCGTAATTACGGCACTCTTCTGCTTGAGATGGCAGCTTGTACTCCTGATGGCATGGTATGTTTCTTCCCATCGTATCTTTACATGGAAAAAATTATCGGTCAATGGGATTCGCTTGGCGTGCTCAAACGTGTTCTCTCAAGCAAGCTGCTTTTTATTGAGACCAAGGACATTGTAGAGACGACATTAGCGCTGGACAATTACAAAAAAGCCTGTGATTGTGGACGGGGTGCTATTTTTTTCTCGGTTGCTCGTGGAAAAGTAGCAGAAGGAATTGATTTTGACCGTCACTACGGACGTGCTGTGCTTCTTTTCGGTATCCCATTCCAGTACACGCTGTCAAATACGTTGCGTGCACGGCTAGAGTACTTACGTTACACTCATCAGATCCGTGAAGGTGATTTTCTCACTTTTGATGCGTTACGCCAAGCAGCTCAATGTGCCGGTCGAGTTCTTCGTAGTAAAACTGATTATGGACTGGTTCTTTTTGCTGACTCACGGTACAATCGGGCTGACAAACGAACGAAATTACCTCCGTGGATTACCCAGTTTCTCGTGGATTCCCACTTGAATTTGTCGGTGGATATGGCAGTTTTTATGGCCAAGAAATATCTGTCCTTAATGGCTCAACCAGTTGATGAATCTACCAACGTCAACTCTATTTTACTAGATGCCGATGGCGTCGACAAGTGGCTTGGCAAACATTCAAAGAAAGACGAACTGATGCAGTAATCATTTTTTTAGCCATAAATTGGTGAGTTTGTACGAAAAAACGTTTAGGTGAAAAAATACACACGAGGCATATAAAAAACAATGTTAAAACTTTAGGTTTAAAACTCTCCATTTTGTGTTAGCTGCTGCAAAAGTGGTTGGTTACTCTTGCTATCAGTACCGACTGAATAGCTTTTTTTAACAGATTTAAAGACGAGGCGCATCCAGGACAATGCCCTCGAACTTGGTCTGGAACCAGTTGATAGCGTCATCCTTGGTCAGACGGTGCGGCGCACCGACACGCGACTGCTGCATCTTACGACGGGCAACACGGGCACCAGGGCGTTTAAGCACCACAAAAAAGTCCATTCCGTAGATACCCGTAGAAGGGTCGTACTTGATGCCCAAATCAATGTGCTCCTGGATACCAAATCCAAAGTTGCCCGTTTCCGAAAAGTTCTTGCGCAAAAGCTCATACTCCTTCACCTTCAGACCACGGTCCAAAATTTCTTGAGCAAGTTCACCACGGATAGTGACATGACACGAGATCTTTTCGTTACGACGGATACCAAAGGTACGGACCGTGTAGCGCGCTGTTTCAAAAAGAAAACAAACAAATAGTTAAAAGTTAGACCTTCCATATTATTTTGAGTTTTTTTTTCATCTTGCTGGCTCTCTGCCACCACTTTCCCTCCGCTTGTTTTTCACTTTTGTATAACAGTGAAACTAAAGCGAGTGTACACAACGAATAAACGAATGATCACGCATCTTTTGCCATCCGTTGAGACGGTCGAAAAGAAAAACACCAACCTCCAAGATCATTGATGGGTGCGTGACAATTCAGTTTTCCGCCTCTTTCGAAGCTCGTTGTACTCGTAGCGAGCGCAATCGGGGATGAACCAGAGCGAGAGCTCCAGCACCCGGAAAGGCCGTTTGAAAGTTAGACACACTCTTTTAATCAAGAGTGGCCCGGGTAAGTAGCCCGTTAAGGCAGTTCTTTGCTTTTACACTAGTGTCAAAAGCTTACCCTTAGAGTACACGGGCTTCTGACCAGTTAGCTGTTCAAGCACACGAGCGGCACGTGTGAGCTTGTCACCCGACTCGCCGACGCAGCAGTTGATCACCAGCTTGTCGACACGAATTTCACGCATGACATTGTTGCTCTTGTCGCCGGCCTGATATACAGTTTCTTATCAGCATCCTTACACGAAACATTTTGTTACCCTAAAGCGAGTGTACGTACCATCTTAGTTTGTAGTTTTAGAGCTATTGGAGAAGTACTGGCAGCGCAATGGCAACAGTCATATCATAGATGGTTGGCTACAGACAGTAGACACCAACCAATTGACGCAAAACGTGTCGCAGTATAGTGTTCACTATGAAGCAAGGCTGCACCTCTATAAGTCGCTCAAGACTTTTATAACCATGTGGCACGTTGTGTGACATAATGTCTCGGTTAAATCCGAAACATGCAAAAGAGTACCGAGACGTGATATGGACTCGACATGCAAGAGACATCTGGCTCAACACGAAAAACTTCTACACATCCTCTGCGACTGCGACAGTACGTCGAGATCTTGGGCATACATCATCACGCAGTGGAAACGCAATCGGAGGTAGTATCTGCTCAAATGGTCTTGTACAAACAAGCAGCGTGATCGCGATCGAAGAGTGCGAGCGAATATCAAGCTCGTGATCCCAGACAACGCTGACAGTGTTGGCCAAGCCTGGAAAAGACTATGGTGAATACTAGGAGTAGTAATAAGCAGGAAAGTATATATACAGATAATCGACAAAAGAGACATCTACTGGGGTACTAGAATGGCTGCGGACTTGTAAACCATAACGATCAATAGACAGTCTCGACCCCCCCCCCCTAATATTCATTCCGTTGCGAAGCAAGCACACCACAAAGGGTATGTAATGCCCCTCTTTGGTGTTGCTCCGATTGAAAGACATATAAGTTGCAACATGCTTCTGCCAAACCAGTTGGCTAAGCATCAACTGGTTTTGAGGAAGCAACGAGTGGCCCCAGCCGTCACCTTGACCATCTAAGGAATACGTAACTGTCTTTGTCCTGGTTAGGTAGAACTAATGCTTACAACTAATGCTTGGTTCTCGATCGCCCTTAACCATATCAATTCTATCCTCTCAAGCTACCATTATCCTACACGTCATCGACCACAAAACCTTTTGGCATTTCAGGAAGTAACATGAAGTTCACATTATCCGAAAATGCGTTTCCTGAATTGCATCTGTCGAAAGAACACCAAGAGGAATTAGCTGAAGAAGCAGAGGATGTCGTGCGCGACACGCTTGCTGCTAACAAAGCCTTTCTTGCTGACAACGCAACATTTCGAGACCCCAAATGGAACCTAGTGAAGGCAAAAGATGGACTGAACGTGTATTGTCACCAGCGGACGTCGACCAGGAGGAGCCCCACAAAATTCAAAGTACCGCATAGAAGGAGTTCCTTTTTGCCGGTCCTCTTAAATGCATCTCAGGTCACAGATCCTTCGGGGGCTAGTAGTACCGGCGAGATTGGTACCGATCTAACAGCTTCATTGTCTGCATCGGCCGTGGATGAGAAAATGAGGCGACCTGAAGGCTTTCAAGTGGTTCTTCATGGAACTGTGGACGGAAATCTGGACGATGCCATGTTTGGGACCTTTGCCGCTACAAACCAGGCTTGGATGTGGCGCAGCTCGCATATCAACGACCGTCTGGATGATGCACGTGTGTTGGCGACCATTAGAGGCCCGACAGAGCAAGACCCTTTTCGTTTCCTGGGTATCAAGTGGTTTGCTAGAGAATGCCCTGCTATGCTTGTGGGTATCGTGCAACAACGAGATTACCTCATTCTTGAGGCCACGGGGCTTACACGTGACTCAAATGGCGAGAGAGTGGGTTATTTTCTCATGCACTCGATATCTCTGCCTCGTATGATTCCAGAGCTCTCAGAACTTGGGCTGCTTCGGGGAGACTTGAGTCTCTGCTATATCTACCGTCAATGCGGCCGTGGTAAAGTCGAAACGTTCTGCAGATGTTTCAGCAATCCTCGAGGCAAGATTGTCGATTGGATGGCTGTGGCTTTCTTAGCTGACTCGCTCATCTGCGCGGCCAGGATTGTTGACTACGCCTATATCAAGAAGTTGACGTGGCTGATGAAGCACAAAGGTGGCCAAAGTACATCGAGTGAACGACGGACTCGAAGTCATCGTCCCAAGCAGTGTGATACCTGCAACAAAGTTTTTACCAAGTTCACACTATCTACCGCCGCGTCGGGGGTGACTTGTCAGATCTGCCGTCGTGTATTATGTGGCAGGTGTAGCGTTGTGAAAAAGATGACAGTCGACGTGTCCGACACTGGAGCAGTAAAGCAGTGTGCTCTTCGATTCTGTCTCGAGTGTCTACACGAAGCTAAAGAACAATCTGTTTGGGAGATAGCGCGGAACACCTCTTCGGATACTTCTTCCGCTACGGGTTGAACGACGTTATACATACAAAATAACTTCAGCCAGCTTGGGTGGTGTGATTAATAGGTTTAACAACAATTTATGGGAAGATCGTCTCAAGCACTATTCAGGCCACAACCTCACCATAGCTGTTACGAAGTATCAGTAAAGTAAATTTTTCCTATTTGATGTCAAAGTGTTGTATCATGTACAAGGTAAGAAAGCTGCTAGCCAAATTTAAGTACTCACTTCCTAAAGCCACGCTAAATGTAGCAGGGCATCTAGTTACACGTAAACATTAAGTAATATACTTAATGTTTGGTCTAAAAGTATCCATGGTTACTTTTGACCTGTCACTTTTTGGGTGCGATACACAAACGTGATCCACCCTCGTGAATGTGATATCCACTTATGGATTCACATGAGAAGGGATGACGCTAGTTGAAGCTAGGCATCGCGACGTCTCAGAAAGACGTCAGTTGCGATCTTAAATCTAGATTTAAGTTCATGCGACAGGATACGCTTCTAAAGAGTCGCGTATCCGATCTATATACATATATAGCCAATCAGTAGTTAAGTATATATTTAGTTATAATTAATTAAATATAGCTCAGTCTTGAATTTGCTAAATCAAAAGCACTACGCACGAGAAGCCGAAAAGCTTCTACGTGACATCGGTGTCTTCTTGTCTTAGAAGTTCGTTGCACTCTCGCTTAAGCGAGAGGCAACTGGTGGTACGACTGCTTGAGCAGTCGATCAACCTCCTAACCACCTCGCACGAGAAGGTAAGACGGTCTAACCGCTTTCTCACAAGTGCATAAGGTGTGTGCTAAGAAGCACGAGGCAACTTCGTAGAAGTGCCCGTCTACACTTGGTAGCACTAGTAGTCCTTCCCAAGACCCGTCTCTCTGAGCGTGCGTGTGGTTAAGATGGTCCTTAATATGGACTGGAGTGACTTCCCTCACCTCTCCCAACATCATAGGGAGTTAACAGAGCATTTGGCGCAGGGACTTGGTAAACAAGCCCTGGTCAACCTCTTGCATTGTCCTCCTGAGCAACATGCTGCTCAGTTGGAGCAATTTGAGGCGTTTGTGCTCGGACAGCGTAGAAACGCGTCCGAGGTAAACAGCCAAGCCACCGCTGAGTCCATCAATAAGACTCAGGATGAGTTTATGCTTGAGCAGGCACGTAATGAGGCGCTCAACAGAACTGTTGAGACGCTCTCTGCCCGGCCTAATCAACCGAGGCCCATTCGGATGGACCCTCCAAAGTTTGATGGAACTAGCCCTCACACGATTGTTCACTGTCTATTAGTAGTTGAGCAATGTGGAGTGGCGCAGCTCATCGAAGACGACACCAGAATGGTGTCGTATGCCATGTCCAATTTGCGTGGCAAAGCGTCAGAGTGGGCATACTCTGCGCTGATGGCAAATGCTGATGCGTTTCCATCATGGACGATCTTAAAGTCAAAGATTCGTGCATGTATCAGCCGCCTAACAATGAAGTGCTGCTTATGATGCGCTTCTTTGGAGCACGACAGGCGCAACGCTCTCTGCAAGAATTTGTGCAGGAGATGCGTTCGCTGTCGGCGTCCATCAATGAAGAACCGATACCAGAACGTATCAAGGTGGCCACGTTCATGAATGGACTTAGGCGCGGCCCATCGCGTCAGGCCCTTTTCAGAAAGGTGCCAGCGACGATGGAAGAGGCAATTGACATTGCCTTAGTTGAGGAGCAATCCTACAACAGCGCCTCGGCGACAGCCTATTACAGGCCGTCGTCCTAGAAGTCTGATGCCACTCCTATGGAGTTAGGCAATGCAGATGTGATCCGCTACAAGTGCGGCAAGCGAGGCCATATGATGGCTCGCTGCTATGCCAAAGTAGCTGCTGGTGCCAAGGCAGCCACAAGAAAGCTCCCTATCCGAAGGGAGGTGCGAAAAACCAGCGTGCACAACGCACGGGTTTAGCGCCTGCCCAAGATGGGTCGGGAAATGTGGGAGCACAGTAGAATCGGGATTTCCTACTGTCGCGGACTCTGAAGCTACCCCTATTTTCAGAGTGATCGAATAAATGGGTAGCATAGTCCCTGAAGTACCGAAAGGTCGGGTCTCAATCCTTTTGGTCTATAGCGCTCGAGAACGAGGCTATGACCAAGTGATGACCCTTCTCGTGGATTCGGGTGCATCACAAAACTTTGTAAAACTCGCGGCTCTGAAAAAGAGACCGGCGAGTTATGAGGCGCTTTGCCAGGATGGCAAGCGAGAAGAGGCGATCGTTCGTTTAGCGAACGGCGCGCTCGTTAAATCGGAGGGAGTTCAAGTTGAAATCGCCTTCAGTTTCAGTGACTTCTCTTGTAAAGAGAAGTTCACAGTGCGAGGTATGGAGAGTCCGTATGACCTCATCCTAGGCATGCCTTGGTTGGCTAAACACCAACCATGGATAGACTGGCGTACACGCACAGTCGCTAGCTCTACGCAAGACACCGGAAAGGATGTGCTCTTGCGAGAGGCTTATGTGGCTGATGCTGTGTCTAACACAGTCGAGGGTGCGATGACGGTATGTCAATCGACACCAGGAACTACCCAGCTCGAAAGGAGTGGTGTAGTTGGAAGTGCACTGGCGGAAAGCCAGGTGACACATATTCCTACCCAGGTCGAAAATACTGGTGTAGTGAATGGGGCGATGACAGGTAGTCATGCGTCCAATAGTCCTGCACAGAGCCAAGAGCCTGTGGCAGTTGATGATGGCCTGACAGGAAGTCAAGCGCTACAAGAACCGGCACAGAGCCAAGAGCCTGGTGCGGTTGGAAGGCGTGCGTTAGCTGAGATAGCAACGAAACCTTCTTCCAGGTCAAAGGTCGTGGTGACTCGAAGAACGAGCACCAGACGTATTAAGACGATCAAGGGCACGTCGAAACGAGTGACCCTTGGATCAGTCTCGGTCCAAGAGGACGAACCTACGAACGAGTTGTTCGAGGCCGTCGAAGACAAAATGCCGGAGGCATCCTCAGTTGAGGTGCTCCAACTTGTCTTGGCATCTGCCGAGGAGATAGTAAATCTCTCGGAGGATGACGTGGGATCTGTTCCTGTCCGAACTAAAGGAAGGAAAGATCCACGAGATAGTCGTACCAGTTCCAGAAGAGAACGTGGTGGACTGTTGCTCTTCATCCACAATGGACGAGAGCGTCTTGGAGACCGACAAAAAGAAACGGTTCGCTGCTCAAGGCTGGGATGCCTTGAAGGACATCCCGTTCTATGATGTTCTGTGGAAACACCGTGATGTGTTTCCAGCAGAAGTGCCGAGCCGCCTACCGGCCGATAGGGGATCAGGCACGAGATTGACCTGAAGCCTGGCACCAAGTATTGTGTGACCAGGTAATGGCCGTTGCCGAAGGAACAAGTCGATTACATCGATGAGTTCTTCGACAAGCGAGCCAAGGCGGGACATGTACGTGAGAGCAAGTCGCCTCACTGCAGCCCGACCTTCTGTGTGCGTAAAGCAACAGGTGGATGGCGCGTGGTTCATGCTTATAATAAGCTGAACACGGCCACCATTCCGGATCAAACGCCGATCCCGCGGAAAGATGTTTTGTTGAATTCCATGGGAAAGTCAACTATCTTTTCCGCGTTGGATCTGAAGGATGCTACTATTAGGTTCTCATGAGAGATACCGATGTAGCCAAAACGGCAGTAAGCACCCCAAGCGGTATGCTGTGGTAGTGGCTTGTGATGCCACAAGGGTTGAAAAATGCTCCGGCAACATTCAACCGAGTGGTGGCTCACGTGATGCGTCAGCACCGTGCCTACGCGCCCCATTACTTTGACGATGTATTCGTGCATAGTAGGGCGGAGGACGGTCTGAGAGCGATAGAGTCGCACAAGCTTCATTTAGACGCTGTGTTGCAGACTCTGGGTGACGCCCAATTATACGTGAGCTTGCAAAAGTGCGTAATAGGGGCCCCCGAGATACCTGTACTGGGCTGCATCGTAGGTGCACATGGTGTGAGAGCAGACCCAGAAAAGGTAAAGGCTGTAAAGGAATGGCCAGTCCCACGTAATGTGAAGGATCTGCGCCAATTGCTTGGGCTCGATAAATACTTGCATAAGTACAGCAAGAATTATGCGGCGCAGAATAAGCCATTGTCTGATCTTTTGAAAAAGGATGCAGAATGGACTTGGTCAAAGGAACAAGAAGATGCGTTCACTTCAGTGAAGCAATCTCTTGTAGAGGCACCGGTCTTGGCATTGCCAGACGCGGATAAGCCCTTTAGCATCGTCTGAGATGCAAGCAATTTTGAAATCAGCAGCGCGATCATGCAGAAGTATGACAACGGCATTGACCGTGTCATATCTTATCAGTCTCGGCTTTTAAAAGCTGCCGAGCTGAATTACCCTGTGCATGACAAGGAGCTACTTTCAATGAAGTATGCCCTTGTAAAGTTTCGGGTGCACCTCTTGGACACCGAACCTTTTGCGGTTTATACGGATCACGCATCACTGCGGACCGCTATAAATTCACCGCAACTCTCGCCGAGAATGGCGAGATGGATAACATTCTTCTCTGAATTTAATTTCAAAGTTGAATATAAGCCGGGTAAGTCGAATGTCTTGGCTAACGCGTTATCGCGCAGACCAGACTTCGAGGCAAGACACCAGGAAAGTGTGTCTCGTGCGAAAGCACAATTTGAGTCGTCAACATTGGCAGCCATGAAGGTCTACCATGTGACGAGCTCAATGGCCTCCGATATAAAGGAGTGTTACAGTCAGGACGAACATTGTCGCCTGCTGTTGGATCATTTTGATGGGCGAAAGGTTACCCTTCCGTCGCACCTCAAAGCGAAGTTAAAACGCTTTAGTTACAGTGATGGCCTGTTATGGCATCAACTGTCACCCTGTGATCCCTTGAGAATTTATGTCCCTCATGACACAGACCTTAAGCTGATGATACTTCACGAGTGCCATGATGCGCCATCTAGTTGACATCTGGGCCGTGAAAAGAAATTTTTACGAGTGTCAGAGGAATTTTGGTAGC